TAGTAGTTGAACTTAACATTTTAGAATAAATCCTAAAGAGCATAAGAAACATCCAAAATAGATGACTTACTAGGAAAAAAATTTTCCAACAGAGTCTAAACCCATGTGTTATCCCTCTTTATCAAAGTCCAGGAATCATAACATCTTAAGAATAAGTAGCAATAGCAGAGTTATTAACATCAAATAAAAGTTTTCTAAGCCTGTGCTTAATAACATGCTTGATTTATTTTCAAGTATTACATATTTTCCAAAATTAATCTAAAAAGTGGGTATCCATCATCAAATCAACCAAATGTAAAAGAAGAAAGCCCTTAGGGCACCAAATAGACTTTACGGATTATTAGTGATGCCCTTTGGGTTAACAAATACTCTTTAGCATTTCATGGGGCTTATAAATATTTTTCTTAAGCCCTTCATTGAAAGTTCTATAGTTATCTCTTTTGATGAAATCGTGATATTTAATTATGGTAGAAAGTGACACCTTTAACATCTTAAGCTAGTCTTAACTTAAGCTTACAAAGGCAAAATTATTTGTTAACCTCAGGAAGTGTCACTTTCTACATAAAGAGAGAACTTTCTTAGATTATGTGTTCCTACTGATTACACTTAAGTGAGAAATACTAATGAGTTGACTACCTTTTAAAGGAGATTTATTAATAAGTACAATTGTAGCATCACTTACTAATCATCTTAAGAGAGAACTTCATAAAGATCTTTAGTCTACAAAAAAGTTATTGATCACATTGCGATCCTAATGATATCTCATGTACTAAACTTGATCATTTTTTCAAGGTTTTTGAAGTGACCTATGATGCTTTTGCCATAGGTGTAGGTCGTGTCTTAAGTTGAGGTCAAAATCTTATAGCCTTCTTTAATGAGAAATTTAAAGAACCAAAACAATTACATACCACTTATGACAAAAAAATTTTATACTATTATTGAGTCTTTAAAGCATTAAAGACATTAAAGACATTATTTGCTTCATAAGGAGTTCACCTTAAACAATGATTATCATAAACTGACATTTATTAACTCCTAAAGAAAATTAAATCTTAGGCATATCAAATGGGTTAAGTTTTTGTAAGAATGCTCATTTCTTTAAATCATAAGCTTAGTGTAAAAAATAAACTATAGTTGCCTCATCTATAGTATCCCTTCTGATTGCTTCAATTGAGTTTCAAATCTCCTGTTTTGATATACTTAAAAATGATTCCACTGTGTATCTCGATTTTCATATTATATTAGTGACAATAAAAAGACATTCCTTTTTTTTATGATCTTTTTTTCATTGATAGGTTTCTTCAAAAGAGTGGTTGTTTATGCATCCTGAGAAATTCTCCGAGATCGTTGTTTGATAAATTACATTCTGGATATATTACTCGACATCTAGGGCAAGATAACACTATTCACCTACTAGATAATAGATTTTAGTGGTCATCTACATGAAAGATGTTGGTCAATTTTTGGACCATTCACTTACCACCTATAGGCATGCCAAATCAATCAAACAAAAATCAAGCCAATATATAGTACTTCCTATTCCTTATAGGGCTTAGAAGAAAATATCCATGAATTTTATTTTAAGACTTCCTAGATTGCCTAGAAGTCATGAAAACCCATTATATTGGTTGGGTAATTTCTTAAAATGGCATGTTTCTTCTTAGCCATAATGCCTATGATATATCTTACATTACAAGAATATTTAAACAAATTACCAAGTTACATTATTTGCTTCTACTATTATGTTTCATAAGGATGTCGCCTTAACCACTAAATAACTTGACTTGAACTTAATTAACTACCCAAAAAAATTAAATTCCAGCGTGCCAGATGAGTTTAGATTTTGTCATATCACTCATTTCTCCTAAAACATATATCCCTTGTGATCAATTCACTTGAGCTTCTAATCTCCAACTTTCATAGACTTTAAGATGATTACAATGTGTGTCCCTATTTTCTTGCTATATTTAATGACCATAAGAAAAAGCCAACCCTTTTTTTGGATGATTTTGAGGTTATGATGGGTATTTCTATATAGTTGATTATTTATGCATCCTTAGGAATTCACTAAGAGATTCATTAATTTATGAATTACATTCTTTAGATATTGTTGGACATCTAGTGTGACATCTACTAGAGAATAGATTTTATTAGTTTATAACGGGGGCTCCGGAATTTTAGGCACATGGCACAGGCTCTCATAATGGGGCCAAAAAACGCAAGTTAAATCGATATTTGGGCATCTGCTAAATATCGATTTTCTTTTAATGTGTGTGTGTATATATATATATATATATATATAAGGGTTTCACTCGTTGGCGATTCACGGCTGTGATTCCTCGTTTTCTCACTTCCTCTCCATTGTCTTCCGCAACGATGTTTTCACGCCCTCGCAGCTTTCTCGACGACATTCGCTCGCAGACGTCTTCGTCGCTGACGCTCGCTCGCGTCGTCTCTGTAATCGACGATGTCACCCGCAGTCGACAACGCTTGCCCTCGTAGTCGCGGCCCGCGTCATCTCTACTCGACGACACTCGCCCTCATTATCGCTTGCTGTCGTCTCTCGTAGTCGACGACGCTCCTGCCGACGAAATCTGATTCCCATAGACAGCGGCTCCTCCTTCTCACAGTCGTCTTCTGCAGTCGACGACACTTCTCCTTCGCAGTCGTCTCCTTCCACACGACGCGACTGTTTTCTCTCCTGCCCGACAGACACCATCTTGTCAGTGGAGATGGCATCGACGATTTGTTCCTATACCACTGCACTTGTCGGCGACTTTCTTAATCCTACTCGTGCTCCTCTTTCAGGTTCAGAGACTGATTTTCGTATTGGCAAGTCCTACAATGTTCCAAAATCTTTCCGCGAAAGTCTTGAAGGTGGTGGTGATCACACTTTCATTAAAAAGTTTGGTAATAAAAATGAAAAATTTATTCTTATTCTCACAGAAATTGAAACATGTACTCCCGCGTTAGTGGGGAAATTTTTATGATCACCCAAAACTTGAGATCATTTTGAAAGATTTTGATGCTATGAAGCTGTTGGGTAGTTGAAATATTGGTTTACTTGACGGTAGACATGTACTTATTCAGTTATCTCACGATGTTGATTACACTCGCATTTTTTCTCTAAAAGTTATCAAGATCGAAAACCGTTAACTGTTGATTTTGATCTAAAAGCGGAGTCTCCTATCATTCTTGTTTAGACAAAATTTCTGGGGTTAAAATTACATCTGTTCAACTTGAAAATTTACTACTCCTTAGCAACTGCTTATGGTAAGCCTTTCGAGGTTGATAGTCCTAAGTTTGTTGTCACCAGACCCTCTGTGGCTTGTGTTTTAGTTGAGAGAGATATCAGTCAACGAGCTTCGGATGAGGTATGAATTGAAACCACTCACAACGGGTATTGACAAAATATTGAAATAGAACCACCCTCCATATTGCTCTCATTGTAGTATGTTTGGTCATAGTTTTACTATTTGCTATCGCTTGCATCCTCGTCTAAGGCCGCATATCGCTAAAGATCAGCCATCTACCATCCATTTTGAGAGAAGATGCAACCCGATCCTCTTTCCAACACCGCAGTTCCTGATGAAGAACACCATACTACAGGTACAGATCCAATCATGCTTTCACCACCCACTACTATTGAAGAAGACTCACTTATATGGCAAGACACATGAGAGTGCTCCTTTGATCCAATAAAAGATCAGCTGGTACAACAAATAGTTGCTTCTAATGTTTAACAACCTACACATATTCGGCGCACTTTAGACCATTTCACTAATCAGGTGAGTCAATCTTCAGATGAGGAATGGCAGGTCTATTTTAGGAGGAAAAAGAAGAATGGAGGTCGGCTCAAGCTCGGCAACCTATTGGATGATACATTGGTTACTACTGACAATGGCACTCATCTTACCAATTTATCAGCTGGCTCCTTCCCTAGAACTAAAGGTAGAGGCAGAGGCAAGGCGAAATTGGGTCACTCTCTAGCTACCTGATACTACGTCTTTTGGCATTTTTTTGTTTTTTCTTTAGGTCTCCCATGTATTTTTCTGTATTTTCTCGTTTTGGAACCATTTTTGATTATCGTGTGGGCGGGGTGTCATGATTGGGCCCTCCCACACAATATATTTGTATCCTTCTTTCTAATTAATATATTAGCGTTTAGATTATATATATATATATATATGTGTGTGTGTGTGTGTGTGTGTGTGTGTGTGTGTGTTCTTTTGAGAAAAGAACATGATCATTCAAATCCATTTCATCACAACCACAGCTTACCTTCTTTTGCTTTATCCTCTTACTCAACAACCAAAACCCTCTCAACACTTGGTCTCAAGGTCCTATTAATAGCTCCTTCGTATGTTATCTGACAAGTACTAACCAAGAAAGTTTATTTATAGTGTTTTTCATGCATCAAAATTTTTTTCTTTCCTCGTGAAGAAAAAATTACTAGTTTTATGTTTTTAAGTTTAAGAAATATTAACATCAAGGAAAGCAATTTTCATTAATAACGGAATTGCTCTTTTAAGTAGAGAGTATATAAGTAATCTTTGTTTTTGGTTTAGTGTCCAATGAGGCCAGGTCCTTTCTTCATTTTCCAGATAACAACTTTTTGCCAATATAAATCTCCACAATCAACTCCTAAAAAAGGACATCTGTCAGTGTCATCAAAACAGCCAATAACAAAACTAATTCCTATAAAATAGCTTCTACCACACCAAAAGAAGCTAACAAACTTATATTGTAGATCTTATATCATATGAGCATATTGATACCTGATTCAGTTATAACCAAAAATAATCTAAAACTAATAGATTCTGTATGAAAACACAAAAGTTCATTTCATTAGATGGAAAACCATGGACAAACAAAATATCAAGCTGCATGTAATGCACACCATAGTATAAATTTGAATATTTCCACAGTCTCGTTCACTATTTTCATTACTAATCTGCAAGTAAGCGTGCAGACAAAATAGATAAAAGAAAAGAGAGCACCTTCCACTGAGGAGTAGACTCGCCTGTGAGTATGGCTTCATTTACTATCGCACTTCCAGCTAATAAAAGCATGTCAGCTGGCACAGACTTATCATCCCCGTTCTGATTGGAGCGCCCAATTGAAATAACATCTCCAGGAAGAAGATCTGTCCCAGATAGCTTCACCCACCTAAGCCCCGATGTGTAAAGATTGTATTTAGATAATTAATTTGTAAGAAAACCAAAAAGAGCTATATTGACAAACTTACTTGCCACTTCGATAGACCATCAGTGTCTGACCATCAACTCTTACACGTCTAAGTTCAGTCAGGGTTTTCAATCGGCTCTTGACCATTGTTGACTCGAAAAGAAAAAGCATAAAGAGAGTGAACAAGCTGTAATACCAATATTCATCTAAACACCAGAGGCCCACACAAAAGACCTGAACATAGACCAAATAAAAATTTAAACATATTTAACTATAGCTCGAATCTAACAATCTCAAACTGATTACTTAAATAACCTACTTGAAACACAAAGAATGGTTCCATGCATTGTTCTTTCATTAGCTTCTGAAATGTTGGCTGGGGATACTCAAACCTATTAAACAAAAAAAAAGCTCATAAGGACTGACACATATGCGAGCTAGGAAAGTTTCGCTTTAATATATACACCCAGAGACTAACAAAACAGAATGTGCTGCGTACATACATTCATGCACTGTATTATAGCATTCAGAAGGAATATACAAAAGCATGACAGGAAGTGAAGCATTGTACTTGAAGCACTTGAACAAAAAATGTCGCCCAAATTAACAATTACTCCAGACTAGGTTAGCATATGTCTGTCATGCACCTTACTCTTTATTCTATCATAAGTGGTTTTATTTTTACTTTTCACAACCATCGGTTATTAACCTTTCGCAGAGCTATCCATCGCTTGGTTTCTTTCCTCTTGATTTTTTGTGGTGTTTGTTTCTCTTATCACAGGCCTCCAACTCAGTTAGTTTCTCTAATTGTAGACTTCTATCTTCCTGGTCATTATTTACAGATGCGAGTATTGCAAACTACAATAAAAAGCTTCAAAACTGGAATCATGCTGCACATCAGTTTCGGCTAGCTGTATTACGATTGCATGGACAGAATGGCTATTTTTTTCAGTATGCATGTGTTGCCGGCCACTCAATAATACTCTCTTGCACATTTTTCATGATTTAACTTGGACCTCTTAATGATAAAGCACCATATTTATAATTATAAGCACCTAGTTAGCATTAGAAAAATAATTGCATTTTATTGGAGGGAAATATTGCAACATTGTTTTAGAGAAAGCAATTAAATAATTGCATTGTAATTATACATTACGAACAAAACTAGAAAATATACTTCAATTAATTAAAGTGTCACTCAGCCATTTGCACTAAAAAAATACGAACAACCACTGCTTTGTTATGTGAAAAAACGGAAGATATTTGGCATGCATACGAGCACTAATATTACTGTATTCATTATTCAATAAAACAGCATTTAGTAATTAAATATAATCAAACACACTCACACACACACAGATATATATATATATATATCTAAATACTAAATATATACATATATAATAAAAGGATTTAAAATTCACAACCTAAACCAAAACTCAAACATGCAAAAGCAAAATCAATCACAAAGCAGTTAAATGATAAAAAACAAAATAGAAATCAACAATTTGAAGATCCCAACATTATGCAAGTACATGCAGAAGCATCCCCCAAGAGTTATTATCGACACTTGCGCCATTCATGAAGTAGCATCCAACCAATACAAAAGTTTGATGGGAATAAAAAAGTTCAATTCATCTTCCAAGATCTAGCCTAAAATTGCATATTTCAATTCAATAAATTTAGATTCAAGCAAAAAATAGCATGTTACCAATTTATCATTAGCAAAACAACAAGAACAATATATGGTTGTTAATAAAGTTCAGAGACAAGCATAGAAAGAAATCACCCAGTCAAAGCCTCTACGGTATAAAAGTCAAAGACAACAGGTTACAATCTATAAAAGGTGAATAGAAACAAAAATTAATTTCGATAGAAATACAGCACAATTTACGCAAGGTAAAACAATCAAGGAATTATGGCAACAACACATCGAACTATAGTATCATAATCTTCTAGTCAGAAAAATGGAAAACAAAAGTAGAAGAAACACGACAGCAATAATAATCTTCAAAAACAGAGACTAAAAAGTTGTAGGACGGTAAAAATTAAAAATCAACCACATGCTGAAACAAGGGAATCCAATGAGTTGAATCCACGCAACTTGCAACACTAAATCAAACTAAAAAAATATTCAAAACAATTGAAACAAATCTCATTATCATAGACACCAATATCATAAGCATCTGTTACAGTCAAATCAGAAAAATAGAAATAAGGGAACTGGATCATCACCAAAATTCAATGTTAAAACTAATCGCTCACCTTGTACATTAGAGGAGTACAAACCTTAGAATTTATATAGAATCCATCCGGCTAGAAAAAATACTTTTCACCAAATTAAGCATTTGATATTTCATCAAGCCAATTTTGGAATGACTTAGAATATTTAATACAGATGATACCTCTTGAAGAAAAAATTTTTATTGGAGGAGATTTAAATGGACATGTTGATAGAGTGGTAGAAGATTTCAGAAATTTTCATGGATTCATAGTGGCTACGGTTTTGGAATGACTAATAAATAAAGTCGAGACCTTTTAGATTTTGCTTTAGTGTGTGATTTTGTTATTACTAATATTTTATTCAAGAAAAGAGATGAGCATCTTATTACTTATAAGATGGATCTACTAAAACACAATTGACTATTTTTTTATAAAAAGAAGAGATTGTTGAGATTGTAAAGATTGTAAAGTCATTTCAAGTCAAAATTTAAATACCCAACATCAATTTTTAGTTCTAGATTAAATGAAGGGTTTGTAAAATAAAGAAAACTAAGACTCATCATCGTAGAATTAGATGGGAGAACCTAAAAGATAAATAAAATTATTTTAATGAGTAAAATTCAATATTTCAAAATTTGGGATGTTCATGAAGAAGAGAATGATATGTAGGATAAAGTAACAAACACTATTAAATAAATAGCAAAAGATGTACGTGATGAATCAAAAGAAAAAGTTCTTATAAATAAAAATAGTTGGCGGTGGAATAATAATATGCAAGAAAAGATAACCTATAAGACATGTTATAAAAATTGGTTTAAATGTAAAAACTTAGGGAACTGGGAAAAAATATCAAACTGCCCGTAGGGAGTCTAAAAGAATAATCTGTGACGCTAACAATTTTGCTTTTAGTGATATTTATAACAGATTAGATACTAAGGAGGGTGAAATATAAACTAGCCAAATAAAGATAAAAGAAAAGTTAAGATTTAACTCTAGTAAAATATATTAAAGATGAAAATCAAAAAGTGTTTTTCTTAGAAAAATATATTCTACATAGGTGGGTGAGTTATTTTGATAAACTTTTTAATGAAGTTTCTGAAAATACGATCGACCTTAGTGATCTTAATATCGTTAATAATAATAATAAGTTTTATTTTAACAGTCGCATTAGTAAAAAAAATTGAGAGGCTTTAAAGAAAACCAAAGGTGGAAAGTCTGTAGGATCTGATGATATCCCAATTTAAGTGTGGAAATTTTTAGGAGATTTGGGAGTTTCTTGAATTATTAAACTCTTTAATATTATTTTAAAAACTAAAAAGATGACTGAGGAGTGGAGAAAGAGTATTTTGGCCACCCATTTTTAAGAATAAAGGGATGCATAAGAGTGTGCAAATTATAGAGGAATTAAGTTGATGTGTCATACTTTAAAATTATGGGAGAGGTAATTGAACATAAGTTAAAAAGTATTATAAAGATTTTTCATAATCAATTTGGATTTATGTCGGGCAAGTCTACTATGGAAGCAATACATTCATTTAGAGGTTTGATGGAGAAGTTAAGATAATAAGCAGAATTTACATTTGATTTTTATTGATTTAGAAAAAGCTTACAATAAGGTTCCAAGAGATATCCTTTGGAGAGTTCTTTAGAAGAAAGATAGAA